TTTTGTGGGAGTCAAAAAGAAAAAGAATTTCATAAAACACAATAAAGTTAAACATACTTTGTGCTCCAAAATTCGAGTTAAAAATAACCCCCACAACATCTCGCTTCGATTTATGAGTAAGAACTCTCTCGGATAGTTGGAATTCATATCTCTGTCGTCCTTGTTCCTTGATCTCCGGTGATTTGTAGTTCATTTCTGCCACTTCAAGGATCTTCTTCGGTCTGGCATATATAGAAACTGGTACAAACCACAGGGAAGCTTTATTGGTCAGTCTTCTTGTGCCTGGGTAGTAGATAAACAAACACTGAAAGTTGCAATCAGTTAAGAGAGCTTATCAACTAGCTGTAGACATCAACACTAAAGCGAAACAGATCTGAGAACTAGAATAAATCACTGAGAAACGTACATCATAGAATGGTCCAAATTGCGACAAACACGTATTTCAATGTTGGACACATGATATAAAATCCCTCAAGATTGCGATCATTTTTGCAGTGATGAATTGCTATACTATTCTGTATTATATTATACCAGTATATTGATGGTGTTAATCCATCGATTTGATTGGTCCAAACACAAAATTTGCATATGCAGTTATTGGTATATTGGCTGATAATGCACAGCTAAACAAAGTGGCTCTGGAACATGAATTGACTACAGGTTTAATGCAGAAATACATAAAACTGTAGTACATGTACTTGATATTGCACAATTCACTCCATATATGCACTCTCCTGTGGCCTGCGGCTCATGCATATATGTCGTGAATTGAGCAATATCTCAAGGTATACGCGCCTTCGGCTGGGGATTATTGCTTTAACATAGAACAGACTAAACAGCTTTTCAGCCCTTGGTGGCGCACTTCAACAATTCAACTCATATGCATAAGGTAGTCTGCCATATTTAATTTGTATTGAAATGAAGTACGGAAATTGCTGCATATTTTGGAAGTGATAAACCACTCAGTTCGCAGTACAATGATGTGAAGGAAAGCAAACCTGATCCTGAATCAGTGTTGATGTTACAGGGGATGCATCTAATGTTGTGAGTATGAAATGCAGTCTGCCGAGGAGTCAGAGTCAGTTGCCGAATTATCTAAGCCAAGATGGTTATGAACTGCCAATCAAGATAATGGTGAGAGAAATTTTAAAGTGCATTGGTGCATACATCTTAATAAACATCTGAATTTGCTTATAATTGGTGTTTCTGTGTAGTTTATTATGTATTTGTAAACTAACTTTTTCAGCTGGCCTCTACAGAAACAATTTAACTTTGAGGGCTGTGCGAATGTTACACAAGTACAAACAGTTTTTTAAATTGAAATACAGCTATTTTCATAGGTGTTCTGAAGACATGTGGTTGCAGCGACATTCACCAATGTCCTAAAGACACAATACTCACACCAACATTTACTGGGGTTCTAAAAACATAAAATCACAGTGACTCTCACAACATTTTTTCATCAATTTGTGAAAATCCTTAGCGACGAAAATTATCGTTTACAGTACCCACCTTCTAATATATTTTCTGCAAAAACTTGCACTTGAACTTCAAGTGAGTGCTTTGATGTATACATGACTTCTGCATGTAGCTGAGCCAATTCTCCAATAAACATAGGTTGAAGAAAACTTGTCCGTTCTGCTCTAGCCAGTGCCGCAGAACATGACTCGTACCCGGGTAATTCCTGCAGAATTTGAGAAAATGTCGTAAATCCTGAGAAAATACTATTGATACCACAAACCCATTCTCTTGACTTTTATAAATACTTATAAATCTCAAATTATGACATTTAAATACAACCATCCAATCAATGAGTGCAATGACGTCATTTAAAAATGCCCTCATGTTATTCAATCGGCCAATGAGTCCCCTCGTTTCAGATTGAATTGTGAAATTTGTAAATATTTATAAAGATGAAGAGAATGGATTTGTGGTGTTGATAGTACAAGTCAACATATATTTGCTTATAGACATTCCACTAAATTCATTGAAATTTCAAAGTTGTTTTAGGAATGCAATTTGTTTTAATTCTCTGAACATCAAAGTCAATTACTGTCACAAGTCACAAAATAAACTTGCACAATTTTTTCCACATTTTATTAATAATTATATGGAAATATGTAGTCAATGTGAAATCTTTCCAATTTGGTTCAAAATTAATAAAAAAAATTATAGAAACAAAGAAAGCTTAGAAAGTCCTCCTGTGTGCTGAGATTGTTAGAGACATTAATTAGCTTTCCAAACAAGAAGCTTAGCAACTAATATTTGTCTGCTATTTGAGATGCACAATGTGAAAACAATGTGATCCACATTATTGAAGTTTATAATACAGGAAATACATTTGATTTAGCAACCGTGGTTTATAGTCTAATTTATTCCAGAGCACCTCTAGCACAAGTACAATTTAAATCTTATTTATTGAGATATCAGAAATTTACTACTAACAATTAGATAAGCAATATGCATGTTTTTCATTATTCGAGTAATCACAACTATGGATTACTTCAGAGCATCTACATGTATGAATTTCAATAAAATGGGATAATTACGGACATTGAGGAAATTTTGCAATTTGTATGCTTTATAATTTCAATCCAAAGCTATGCATGCATTGCCAAACTAATCAGGTCTGTGTATTGTTCCAGAGCACAGCCGAAAATTGACTAGTTATTATGCAAATAAAGTAATTAATATGTACAGATTTTAACGTAAAAAAGTCTGTGCAATGTCACAGACCATCAATGACAATGTACCGAGTTTCATTGATATGTGATAATTAGTACTTGAGATATCAGTGGAAAAGCCAAAAATTGACTAATCATCATGCTAATTGGGTGATTAATTGATATACTGTAGAATACTTTATTTTCGCTTGGAATTTATTTTCGCTATTTCCGCTGAAGGGATGATTCCGTGAAAATAAAATCCAGCGAATATACTTTTTTTCTTATATTTCACATTAAACTCATCAAAAATCAGTGAAAATAAATTACATACAAAACACCCAAAACGCCTTTTCAGCGAAAATTAATTCCAGCGAAAATAAATTATTCCACAGTATATAGATTTGAATCAAACTAAACAGGTCTGTACATTGTCTCAGACCATCTATGTATCAAGTTTCATTGAAATGTGATGATTAGTATATGAAATATCAGTAAAAGTAAAAAAAGTAAGTAAAAAATTGACTAATCAGCAAATTGGGTATTAATAAAGAACTTTTCAGGTCTGTGCATTGTCCTATGACATCTTTGTACCAAGTTCCATTCAAGTTGAGATGTGATGATTACTTGAGACATCAGTGGAAAGCCTAAAATTGATTACTAGTAACCATTATGCAAATTAGGTAATTAATAAGCATAGATTTCAATCAAAAGCTAACCAAATCTGCACATTAGACCAGAGCATCTATGCATCTAAGTTCCATCAAAAACCAACATATGCTTCTTGAGATAACAGGCGGACACACACATACAGATACACTAATTGCAAAGACTAAAATGCCCAAAATAGACTTACATGCATAAAAAGAGTTTCACCAGAGATATGGGTAGGTAGGGTAATTGGAAACACTAACGAAGAAAATGAGCATGACATACAACAGATGGTTTCCTTACCCTGCTTCGGTCACTGTTGAAGTATTTGGTTGCGCTGATGTATCCAGCTTCTGCAATCATTCGCAACAAAATGCCGCCATGGATATTGCCAAGTGGATTTGCATCATCGTGCGACATGATCCTGAAAAGATGAAAACCATCTCATTCTCATGTCCTTACTTGATTGATTGAAATATGTGGCATGAGCGAGAAAATGCTAATGTGTGTGACAAGTTAGGTATAATCAGTACTATATTGGTTGATTAATATACCGGTAAGCTGGAACAAATCAGGAGGATATGCCCACCACTTAAACTTGTGAAGTAATCATGCAAATTCGCCAATAAGCCTCAAAAAAGAATAAGAATTATCCGGATTTTAAGTGGCATGACAAATATTTCACGTAACCACGAAATTAGGCAAGCTGCATATTTTAAAGCCTGTGCACCTTTTACACATTTGGCAAGCCATAACAAAATATTAGCAGCCTCTCGGCTGAGATAGCTCCGCTGTTAGCAATGCACATTTCAATTAAAGAACTGAAGATAGCATTAGAAAATGAGCAAAACTGAGAAAGGTCCACCCGAGGTACCTATATGTATAGTATCAAAGAAATCAGATTTGTTGTTTTCAACAAGAATTTGAAAATATCACTTTTTACAAAAAACAACAAAAAATTCATCATCACGAAATGAACAAATCTGAGAGCGGTCTACCTGTACCTATATGTATAATATCAAAGCAATCAGACTTGCGTTTTTTAACATGGAGTCGATAATATCACTTACCAAAAATTACAAAAATATTCATCAAAATTTGAGAATTGAAGATATCATCACGAAATGAAAAAATCTAAAAGTACATATACACCAAGTATTAAAACAATAAGAATTGTAGTTTTCAAGAAGAAATCAAATAAGTGAAAAGTTGACAGGAACAATGGACAATTACTCATATGATAAGCTCCGCTCCACAAAGTTCGCAGTGGAGCTAAAAAAGATTGGATCAATTCTTAAATTAACAAGTCAATTTAAAGTTACATACTTTTTGAAAATATGTTTTGGTTGACATACAGTATACCTAGATAATCCTACTGCCCAGGACACATTAATCATTATAATAAATTAATCAGCCAAATCTTAAATCTCATATTGAAAATGTGAAATTATTTCATGTTTTCTTTTTTTTTATCAAAAATTCGATCACAAAATGTAACATTAAGAAAATTATGCTCACATGGTCAACCCTTTAGGAAATTATAGAAAAAATAATTAAAATACTACAAAATGTTGGACAATTTGGTTGGGAAATCCTAAAGCATTCACAAACAGTTAAAGCAATGTCTCTCACTGCAGCAACTTCCTAAACACTTTATTGTAGAATGACAGTTCTAAACAATAGAACAGCAATTTTTTTCAACTTTCTACATCAATCAAATTGTGACTAGGTTATAAATCAGACTAGGTCTATGGCTGGGTTCAGAATCAGAGGCTAGCTTCACGCTCACAATACGGAAACCTGCTGGTAATAGGCTATGCTTTATCGAGCAATTATTGACAAAGGCGTATATCATGTAAATACTCATTACTGAATCGAATCAAATCAAATCTAAACGAGAATTCAAAAGATCGCTCACCTGCTGACTTGTATGTACGACGATGACTTCGGGTCCGAGATGAAATCCGGTGGTTCTGCTACCGCCATGTAGCCACGTATTGTTTGCGCGATGAGACGGGGCTTGATGGAAAAATGTACATGCGTCTTCGTTTTGACATAATCATATTTACCGGTAGTTGCCACCCGTAAAATCCGGAAAGCTGATCCAACCCGTGTATTCCACAGCGCCATTATGTTTGTTGTCAGCTGTTTCGTCAGTCAAAGGTCATATGTCAAATTATAATATGTCAAAATTGTTTTTATTATATAAATTGTTTATATTGTGCATTTGTCTGATGGTAGGTTGATTACGTCATGTATTCCAATATCATACGGGTCAAGACTTGATATAATAAATAACAAATGCGAATTTACTGAAGCTGTAGATGACAACGAAACCTCCACGCTGTAAGTTCAGTCGTGGAAGACTGGACACACTGACCAATCAGAAAGAGGTACACAATGACACAATGTCTATAAATAGAATCGATATACACTGAAGGGAAACCCTTTTATTTGCCGCTTAGACTATTCTGTCATTACGCCGGTCACCCCGCAACGTATACCACGACCAAGAGAGCTGCATAAACTGCATCAAAGTTGTGTTGTGCAAGGGAACGGAGAGATGGATGCATATGTAAAGGCGATCTTGTTTGGAGGTTTGATTTTCGGCTCGATTTCAGCCAGGTATTCGAGTTGGATTTTTACGTTATTAACTGCCATGTCAACAATAGGTAAGTATACGACAGGACCTCTTGAAATCATGCGGAAGGCATGAACTCCGCTTAGTCGTAAAACATCGACAAATGTGGTACTGCTTAGTCTTGACTACAGTAAACAGCAAGATGGGCAATAGTGCAAACAAGAAATACTATAAATAGAAGTGGTATTATGTAACAAAACCAATTTTCATGTTCATATACATGTATACATTATGAAAATTGTTATTCACTCTTAGTCTTATTATTTTATTTTTTTTTGCCCAACCAATATAATTTATATACTTATTTTTATTCATTATATTTGTTCATTCTTTTACATTCATTTTTTTTTCTTCTTTAGAATAGCATTTGGTTATGTTGAATTCAAAACGAATAATGTCAATAAATTATTACTCAAAAAGCAAAATATTAGAGTTAGGTTAAAGTGTGGAGTGGGTGGTTGGGGCAGAAGTGAGTCTTTCTAACCACGTCTTATTACATATACAGTAGTTCAATGTCATGGTTAAATGGACCTATTATTGCCACATATCATGGAGCTAATAAGAGATTCTAGCTTCATGCACATATCAAGTGTCAATGAAAAGGGACCCCTAACTTCCTCATTTTGAAACATGTTGTTTTAGACCCCCCTTTTGGTGCCTTGCATACACATTGGTAAGTTTCTACAAATGCCCCCCCCCCCTCCAGATCTATAGACTGTATATTCAAGTCTCTTGAGAAATTGAAGACAAACAAATTGGCAGTACTATTTATAATTACTCTTTCCCAAATTTTCATCATTATTCATTTAAAAAACCTGTGCTAAATTATGCTGTTTTTAATAAAATTTGAATCAAATTTATCTAGCAAGTGCATAAAATATTGAATACTACCAGATGCTTATGTTTTCTCTGAACTAAACTAAAAATAAACTAGTTCTTCTCCAAATTTCTTTGCAGTGGTTTTGTTCATTGTCAGTGTAGTGCATAACATACAACTAGTAAATCAACATGACGCCGATAATATTAAAGTGAAACCCAAGAGAAACCGTAACCATAGCAATCATGATGATGCAATGGATGATGATATTCCTGACAAAGTGAAAAGGAAATACGAGGGCGACATTGCAAAGTTGATGACCTATGACCCATTGGCTACTGATTCAATACACATGTTTCAACCAATCAAAAACAACACAGAGTGTACCTTCGCTAAACATTCTAAGCTTTGGGGTTCTTGTGATTGGAATGAACGCCTGTCTCTAGGTAAGAAAGTCAATCACCTAAATAATGCCTTCTAGCAACAACCACTTTCTGCATGTAAATGAGTGGCAAAACGGCTGTTCATATCACCAAAATTTTCCTTGATTTGTCATTCATCAACAGAACAACGCTTCTAAATACATATAACCAATGACAACCACACATAGTTGTCGATTTGGGCCTCATAGCTTTCATCTATATACATAATTTTGATATCAAAGAAGAGCCCTATTGCTAGATGTGATTTTTTAATTTCTATTTTTTTTCCTCTTATGTACTGTACATGTATTTTTATTTTAAATATATTATTTTCACTTTTACTGCATTTTTTTTTATTTTGTAAATTTTAATTTTATTATTTTATCTATAGTCCTTGTGTGGGTATTCAAAACTTACCAAAATAAATAATAAAATAAATAATAAAATAATAATCAAAGAAAGCTTAGAAAGAACTCCCATGTGCTGAGAGTATTGGAGACACATTAAATATAATTCGAAATTACTTAGCTGAAAACTAATTATGCAAATCAGAAAATTAATATGAACAGATTTGAGTGTAAAACTAATGAGGTCTGCGCAATGTAACAGAAAATCTATGTTTCCAAGTTTAATTGAAATGTGATTAGAACAAAAAAATTATGAATTATTATGCTTATTAGGGAATTAATATGAACAGATTTTTACCCCAAACTAATTAGGTTTGTACATTGTCCTAGAGCATCTTTGTACTAAGTTTCATTGAAATGGAATAATTAGTACTTTAGATATCAGTGTGAAAGCTTAAAATTGGTTAATTATGCAAATTAGGTAATTAATATGCACAAATATTTACCAGAAACTCATTG